ATGGTGAAACTCGGGCTGAAGGAGAACAATACCTATTCCAGATCGGGCATCAGTGAACCTAGGCCTAGTAACAAGAAACTACTAGGAGCAAGGGCATCGATACTAGTAACAAAGGGCATCGCTACTAGTAGCAAGGACGCTACTAGTAGCTCCTTAGGTACCTTAGGAAAATGTCTAAAAGGCCAATAGCTTCCAGTTACAAGTCGCAAGAATGCTCCTAGTAACTAGTAGTGAGGCCAGGAGCTACTAGTAGCGTCCTTGCTCCTAGTAGCGATGCCCTTTGCTCCTAGTAGCGTCCCAACTTGGTGCCTGTCAGGTACGTTGGGTCTTAGCCTACACGTGCCATCGTAACCTACGCCAACAGCACTGGAGGAACGCACCTGGGTTCTCCGGATCTCGGATGCACCAGGCTACCGGAGAGACTGGCGAAGATCCGAGAATGAACTTCGGAGCAAACTGCCAAGCAAACGGCAGGTAGAGCTGAATACATAACCATGATAAAGCATGGCTAGGGAACCCTGACCTCTCTTGTTCCAAACAATATCTGTGCATCAGCTGTTGTAGCTCAAGAACTTAAGGTCATGTTCAAGACGCTCAAGCTCCGGCACCTACGCACCGCTATGGAGGCTGCAGACGGAGTCCTCCCAGAATATCATTTTTTGTCGTTTGAGGATGGGTTCATGTGTACTACATTCACTAGGCAAAAATTGCACAGGGTCCAAAGTGAAGTGTGACTTAGTGAGAAGGAAAAGGCAGGAAATTGCCTTCGAAGCTGCTGTCAGCGCTGTGACTTTCCTGGCTCGGCTCTGGCAGTCCTGTACTGCAAATAGACGTGACGCGTCACACCTTGCAATGCGAAGTAGAGATCTGTGCCAAAGATCAAAGCGTTTGAAAGGACAATTCAAGCCAAATCAGAATTGAAAACACCCACTGTATCAAATCTTGACGATAGCTGATAACAACTTTGATTTGTATATCTAGCCTGTTCTTCCCTCCCACATGTGCACTGTGCCTCCATCAACTGACTGCATCAATTTGACCTTGGACGATCGGACGATATCGGACGGCATCGGATGTTGGGTCGTAACTTGCTTTGAAGCGGGGTGGAATGACTTCTATGGAAGAGAGCTATCAAATACTCTAAGGCACTTCAAACATCAACAATGACATAGCGTGTTGGACAAAAAGTGCAAATTGACAAAGTAGAGATAAATTTGGACCGGCTCCGGAGGCAAAACCTTTCATCGAAGGATGTTACAGAATGTGCGCCGGGTGGGGGTGAACCTGAACCTGAACCTGAACGGGAACTGATCGGGTTCGGGTTCGGGTTGTGGACGGATGCGCTGACCCGAGCGGGCGGGTTCTAGTTTGAGTTCCGGCTCAGGTTCAAGCACAAGGGTGGAGAACTGGAACCTGAACCTGAACGGGAACTGTTCTAGTTCAGGTTCAGGTTCAGGTTTGCGCGGGGCGCATAATGCAGAATGGGATGTTATGTATTGAAGGTGTCGGAGTCGGAGGGAGAGATGCGTTGCTGACAAGTGGCAGTTTGAAACTCTTCCATAGCCAAGGACTGATGGAAGGTTAGCAAGTCTTTTTGCGACCAATCTGCAGGCACCTTGTGGCAAGTCACAGAAACCAAAAAATAGCACATGCAATTTAAAGTTGATTCAGGATCTTGCACTTCCCGCCTCCCGCAGAAGAACCAGCGTGTCATTGACAGTTTGCTGCCAAGCCTTTACCGCAGTGCAAGCTCTCACCCACTCCATCCCGACAAAGTAATTGAACTACTGTATATATTTATTAAAAAAAAACAAAAAAAAAACGCAAACCTGTGATGACCCCTGTGCCTGAGCTGGCTTCTTCACCGGCTCTGGGACGGGCCTTGCTTCAGGAACAGGCTTTGCACCTGAGATCGCAGCGCTCTGAAGAGGGTAGCGACAAGTTGCCCAAGAACTCAAGAATCTCAAGCTTTGCCACTTCGCAACTTAGTTTTCACAATCGACTTTGGATGTGAAGCTGTTGCTGAAGTCTTTGCAAGATCTCTGGTCGCAGCTGGTCACAAATGCTGCCAGCCACGAAGAGTGTGAGATGTGCAGCCACAAGGCCCACAAAGATGGCATCCTGGAGATCCCAACCAGCCACAAAAGCACTGGCTGTGCCTGCCAGGAGTGCATCTCCCGCTCCGGTGACATCTTGAACATGGTCAAGAGGCCGCAGTAAGCGGTACCACAAAAGGCTGCACCCGTTCTGTCTTCGCTCCTCCAACTGTACCACCAAATTCGGATGAGCTGAGCATTGCTCGACCAAGCCAGCCACATCGATCTCAACCTTGCGAACAATGGCATTGCTCGTCTGAGCATCTGGAGCATCCGGCAACTGTCTAGCCAATACACATCCTTTAGACCCCAGACTCAGCAACAACTTTTCGGCAAATCCAAATCCTGGCACCAATGCCTCAGCGGCAGCTTCTACAAGGTCGGCCGGTAGCTCATCATTCTGCCATTGCAAGGGTCTTTGTGACTTACCCAACATGGCCAGAAGCTCATCCCAATTCGGGGCAGCCAGTTGCCATGGCGACTTAGCAACACCCGCAACACCCCTCGATGCCTTGGCCACCGAAACTGGATCAAACCAGACCTCGACGGTTTGCTTCCCACGAGAAGTTTCCAGAGCTGCCTTCAAGGCCTGGGCGTTGAGATTGGCTTCACAAAGCACGAGCTTCACGTCTTCCAACGAGCTACATCTTTGCACCAAGACTTCTGGTGGAATATTGTCCAGGATTGCCATGTCCGCAACAGCACCCACCAGCTCTCCAGATCCATCCAACAAGGCTGTGTAGGTCGCAGTTCTTGCACCTTGCAACACAGCTACATCTTCTACTATTATCCCAAGCTGTTGGCAGTGGTTCAACAACTGCCGCCCTGGTTCATCTGCGCCCACAGCAGATAGGAGACGCACCGGGCATCCTAGGCGCAAGGACACCTCAGCCATATTCCTTCCAACACCACCCTGAGATATCCGTGCCTCGCCAGGCATAGACGTACGAGAAGCTCCGCGCTGTTCAGAATCAAAGGGTCGAACAATGCAATCTACGACCGCTCCACCACAAACCATCAGAGCACCGCTCACCATGGCGCAAAACTCGCAAACTCCCCGGTGATCCCAGTGATCCATGCTAGTGCTTCGGCTTCAATGGAGTTCATGTCGATTCAACTCAACCAGGTCTTCTCACGTACCCCTTAAAAAGAGTGCAGGATATCTGTAGCCCTGATGCTTGTTGAGCTTTTGCGCATGAAGCCAAACTTCGAGAAGGTGACAAACATTGAAAGCATCGCCATAGAAAGCCTTCTGTTTGCAAACGAGTGGCAAAGGGGCCAGTAGCGCCCATTGTATTCAACAGGCAAACCAGAGAAAACCTGCGCTGGGCACGTTGCACTATTATGGAAAGACTTGGAAGAAAAACTCGGACCCTACTATTCACCAAATGATCAAACCAATCACAGCCAATTGCCGCAAAAGCTGTCAAATTTACCAATACCAAAGCTGTGGCCTCTAATGCACCGTCTGCAGCAGCCTGATCTTCATAGCGAAAGATCGCACCACTCACCTGGTCGCGAATGATCGATGTGAGCAAGGAGTTTCGTTCCTCGTTGAGCAAACAGCGGAATTGACAAAAGTGTTATCAAGTGCTTTTAGCTGCTTTCATGAGAGTCTTTGCTCCAGGCTTGGCTATCGGCAGAATTTTGTAGCAACCTCAGTCGTGTCGGCACCAAGGATGTCCTCCAAACTGACCACATTCTTTGGCCGGCAACTCTCAAACGGTTGAGTTTCCAATAGCAAAGGCAACGCAAGCGAGAGAGGGAAATGTATGTCAAGGCCAGCTGAGGCGTAGACTGAAAGTCCACTGGCAAGGGCAAACCATGTGCCAGGTGCATTCTGTTGATCTGGCATTGGCTTGCCCCAGGAAAGTGCACAGCAAGCTCACAGCAGCACTAGTTTCAATTCATGTGCAATGCATAATGGTGCAAGTGATGAACTACCCAATGACATCCACATCATCCACTTTATTAATTACCCCTTGAAACCTACACCCCGAACGCGAGAACGGGCTGCCAACGACCAAGTGACGACCGACCGGCTTCCAACGCTTCCGACGGTTCGGCGAAGAAGCGGCGACCGGCTTGATCGATCCTTCTCTGGATCGATCCCCCGTGGCAAATCGGCAATGTAGATCGCACATTTGTCCTCAAACAAGTGTCAGTGATTGATAGGTTTTGACTTTTTTTGGTTTCGACCACGATGGGATGGTTTGCCTAGCAACTTCAGCAACTTCATGCAACTTCCAATTGTCATTGTGCATCACTTGTCCTTCATGAGGCTATCTGTCATAGCCATAGCTGGAGTACATTAAAACATGTTCGAAGAAAGGATCTGGGGATCTGCTGTGGGCACTTTAGGACAATGGAAAAGGGGAGAAAAAAGATGAAAAAAGGTTTGGTAAACTAGTAGACCCCAACAGCCCGACAGTTGGATTTTTCTGCTCAAAAGAGCGCGTAAGGCCGTTGTACCGGCCAATGGGCCAAAGAGGCCCGCTGAGAGCCAAGGGAGCCCCGAAAAGAAGCATTGCAGGAGATGCAGGCAAACACCATTTCTTTGCTCATTGAAGTTGTCTCTTGCATCACTCGACCTGGACTACACTACTTGTACCATCATTGCAGAAAACAAAGAAGGCCATCATTTTCCGAATCTTGCGTGCTCTACACTGGACACCTCTCTTCGCCCTTTTGGCTGAGGTTGGACTAGTGGATGGCAAGAGCACTGAACGGGCGGCACACCATTGGTGGCGCTTCGCCCAGTCGAGGAAGCGGCCTCCACACTTGGAATCTTCACAGGCGTGGTTCTGGCCTTTGCCTCTGGGGTTGAAAACTGTTCAACAGGAGTCTCACTCTGTCCGCAAACAAGGACTCAGAAGAGCTCAACTGTATCAGGATCTCTTTGCATTAGTCCACCTTCTTTCCACTCTTCATGGACATCACGAGAACTACCTGTGAGCTTGGGCGTGGAGAAAATCAATGACTCAAGAATGAAGCAACGACAAACGGCCTGCATCACCGCGCCCGCAAGCAGCCATGACACGATGATCGAGAAGACAGTCTGTGTCCTTAGTGAGATGACGGGCACCAAGGCACCGAGGCGCAAGGTCACGCCGCGCGGTCACACGCCCTGAGCATCGTTTCTGCGCGTGTGTCCCTAACACGAAGTGCACAGAGTCCGCAGAGTTCGCACCATTTTCATCCATTTTCACTCAAAGGAAAGCTGCTGAGCGGCGACGCCTCAGCTCGGCCAGGTGATGCCAGATGTGAGAAACAGTGTTTGCAGGTTGTCGGTAAATGTCATCCTGGAAGAGATTGACAGGCAGACTTCAAACAAGTCCAACAATTTCAGATTGAGCCCGCCTGTAAGACACAGTCTGGAAAGAGGCAAAGAATCAAATGATGTTTCCAAGAAGCCCAAGTGTCACAAGTAGCGGAAGCAACCACAGAGCAGCCTGCTGCACTTCAAGCCTGGCAGAGTCAACGAGTTACCCTTAGAGCTCAAGTGGCTTGCAAGCCCGAATCCATGGATTCATTTTCTTGAAACAAAGGTGCCTGTGATCTAAATCAATGGGGGGAGGATGAAAGTTCGCAGTTATAGGACTCCAGTGGCGTTCTCTTTGGAACTCCTGGTGGTTGCGCATCTTCGGCAACGGTTGCTGTGTTTTGACTGCCAGAGTGCAAAGTCTGGACATTGCTGAATGACTCAAAGGCAATTCCAACATGAATCCAGGCTATGTGGTTTACCCCAAGGTGCAAGACTGCAAGTGTCTGCAAGTCCTGTGGTGGTGAGTCGTAAAGCTTCTGCTCCGCTCGACTGCCGTGTACTTCCGGCGTCTCCATCATACTGCGTAGGTCATCAAAAAAACCTTAGCTCTCCATGCTGCAGTTGAAGAATCTGCAAAGCTGCAATTCTTTTGGCTCCCTTGGAGCGCTTGACAAGTGACCCTGGCAGAATTTTCGGAGTTGCAGCATCGCTGGTTCTGTAGCATTGGATTTGCCATCACCCAAAGCCTTGGGAAGGAAAGATAGCGAAAGACCCAAATAATCTGGAGGCTAATCTGTTCTACTCGAGTCACAACAAATCCTGTGGAAGCAACGCCAAATACTTTCAACCATAACTTCACAAGGATGCAACATGAGTACCAAATTGCCTCCACCTGCAGTACCCTGTGCTTAATCGAGGCATCGAGGAGCTTTGGCCAAATTCGAGCAAAAACGGATGAAAGGCTGCACCGACGAGGAGCGCATCACATTCTTGATTGCCTCCTGATGGGATCGTGCACGGGGAGGCCGGATGCTTGTGATTCTTCCGCCAAGAATGCTGTGCCATGTGCCACTACCCCTGTCGCCTGTCGACAGAAATCAGTCCCCTGGTCCGATCTCTTTGTATCGAATCAGTCTACTCGGCCCTACCATGTCCTGACCTGTTGCTCACTGTTTGCCAGATTCTTGCCTGTGGGATCAGACTGTTGTGGCAGAATCCCTGTCAATGTACTTTCCTGATACAGTAGTTGTTGGTGGAATTTGTGCCATGCTCCATGAAATAGGGCGTAGAGGTGCAAAGAGATCTCAATTGCATCACGTCCTGTTGCGACTGGAGCATGACCTGAGGTGCTGTTGAGCGGCGCAAAACAGCAAAATGACTGTCTACCTTGACTGCCACCGCTGCCTCATCCATCCATGGCACGGCATGTCACTAGATCTGAATTCTATCAAGCCACGGTTTTTGCTTTCTGCGCGGCTGCTTGGGCCACCTTCATGCTTTCAGGTTTGGGGAGGCTTTAAAACTTAGAAGATTAAGACTTCAACTGAATGCCTTTTCAAGTGGTTTCAGCACACCAATTGTTTCAGGTGTCAAAAACATGGAACACTTGCAACGCCTCCTCATGATGCGAAGCCTCAGCAAGGTCATCTTCTGCCTCACCTTAGTCACGGGTAATGCGCTAGCCGCTAAGTTACTACTGATTGCCTTGGCATCTGTGCTACACCATCTCCTTGATTCAGCCAACAATAGAATTTTAGGACTCACATAAGCTGCTTTTCTGGTCGGCACTCAGTACTGGGAAAGTTCCCTACCGTGCGCTCAAGAAGGCAACAAAAAGCATGAAACACGCTGCCTAAGTCAAGTGTAGTCAAGTATGCAACTTTTGACTCTACGTTACCACATGTTTGCTGTCTCAAACGCAGTCGCTCGCTTGCAAATCTTTGCAAAGTGGCGGGCTGCCCGAGCTGCTCTGAAGTTTGCTTTGACTGCGCGCTCGACCCACTCGGAGGAAGTTCCAGTCGTAAAGTCCCACACAGGGTTGCTGGGCACGCCATCCCAATCTGAGCTGATTGGTGAGCACACAGTAGGCCGAACATTTGTGCAAGCCCTCAAGCCAATAGTTCATGTCATTCTGGCCGCCAAGCTGCCCAAGGCATCTTTGCTCCCACTCTTCATGGACTATCGACCTGCAAAGTGAAAACATCAAATCACAATATATTGTGTTGTCAGGTTGGAGGCCATCGCTAGTCGGTTGGAGGCCATTGCAGTTCTATGATCCTTCCCTGTGCTCTGAGGCGCCCGAACAGAGTGAAGAGAAGCCCCAGGCATCGCTGTGCCACGCAGCGAGAGGTAGTATTGAATGGTATTGAGCGATGTCGAGTGTCCCCTGCCACTGTAGTAAGTGTAGTATGTATGTTAGACAGTTAGACACTGTTAGTGTGAGTCTTTCCAGAGTTGTCTTTCTTTCGGGACAAAATAACGTGTCAAATCTTCACCCCAAGTCTCACCTTGATGCACCAGCGTGCTAGGTTTCTCATCTACATGGACATTCATCATACATCGACTAATACTAATACTAATGCTGTAAAGGGTCACCACAATCCCTCACTTGACGATGTCTAACGCACTTTGTCTGCTCGGTCGAAGGGTCTGGCAGCTCGAGCCGGCAAACAAACACTGAATGAGTTGAAGAAATCAAAGAAGCTGAGTGTTGTTCTTCGACTCATCTGCTTTGGGCAACAAATGAATGCAGCGCACTGTCTGCTCTCGACTTTAGAACCGAGCTCCCAGACGGATAAATATCGGTGAGCTTCGTTCCAATCACCACAAAGATATTCAGGGGAACCTGGCAAAAAAGCTACAGCCACAGCTAACTCAAGGTTTGAAAGAAGTTTCAACACGTGCAGAACCCAACAAATGCAGTACAGATCTCCTCTGCTTCACCGTCCATTTATGCAAACATGCCGCAGAAACCCTGAAGATATTCATCACACTACCCTGGATGGAGTCTGGGATCACCTCCAAATTGCAGCAGCAGCAGCAGGTACAATTGAAACTGATTCATTCGTGCCTGCCAAGTAATTAAGTGCACTGCAAACATGAAGGAACTGAGAGTTCAGCTCCCATGTTTTTGGGGTGTTGAGTTTTCGCGCCATTGAGCTGGACAATCATGTGAAAATGATGGTTCAAGAGAATAGAGTCGAATAGAGAATACCAAAAGGCTCGCACCCAGGAAGACGTATGCCAGTGCATCTATGTTAACTGCACATGTTGCACATGTTTTCTCGCTGCACAACTATCACTGTTGAGACGAAAAGATCTATATCTTGTGTCACAAAGACAAGCTCAAGTGCGCCTTTGATCGCAGCAGGCCCAGGCAGGGGAAGAAGACACCGACGCAAGTCCTGCATGTTGTCCATCCTATCTGTATTGGGTCTATATAAGACCTTGTTGAAATGCGTTTTGAGTTACAGTATAGTTCTGATTCATCGATGGATGTCGTGCTGCTTGCTCAAGCGCATGGTCTACCTGATTGCTCTGAACGCATTCTGTGCCGAGCAGCTCAAAAATGATGAAGCTCAGCAGCACGGGGATCAAGCTGCTGGAGTAGACCGGCACTGCGAGCGCCGCAGCCTTGGCTTCGGGGACGCGTATACCTCCTACGGCCCTGCACACATCTACATGTTGTTCCACGGCATGATCCTCCAACTGTGAAAATGCATTTGCAATTCGCACACCCAAAGGACTACAGAAAAAAAAAAGGCAAAAAAATGGATTGTGAAAAGATGCCTTCCCCAAAGAGCTGTCTTGGCAAAGCTTGCCGCATCCGAGGCACTCCGACCAAGAAAACGCCTACAGCAAGCTGTTCTGCACTGCAAAGTCCCAACAGCAAGTGTGGCGAGAAAAGCAAGCCGCCCAACCTTGTGGGAAACGGAATGGGTTATTGTGCGCTGTTGTGGCAAAAAGGAGTTTGAGTTTCTCAGACTTCGTGAACCACACCGAGGATTCCCTTTGGTCACGACAGGCGCATGCATGACGTGTCAAATGGATATCTTCTGGAACCGCCAGATAAAATGTGCAATGATTCTGGAAACCTCTTCTCATGAATGTGTGATCGCCACAGCCAGGCATTCTCGTGAAACGATGATTGCAAAGAATGGCGATGGTCATAGCTTGCACCAAGACTAACCACCTACTACAAACCAATAGAAGAAAAAAAACACCTGGGATGGCAAAAGGAAATCACGCGACCATGACCATGTCCACCAATTGTGTACGTCATCCAGCAAGATAGCACACGTTCTGAGATGCAGACGACATGCAAGTCATGAAGCTGGAAAAAACCAAACCCGTTGGCAATGGCCTGGAGATCACAATCATGGTTTGCTTGCGCTTAAAGACACTGCTTGGCACCTGCCATTTAAGGCTTGCAGCATGCTGGGCACCCACATGAAAACGAAGGAGTACCTGGAATGGTGACACTCCAAAAAGTGAAGACTTATCTGCAGGTATCCCCATGTATACCTGCAGCTGCAGAAGACTACAAATTAAAGTTTTGGTGCTGACATGGCGTAGCTCTTGAGGCCAAAAGACAGCGTCTTTTCAATTTTTCACTCAGGGCACATCGACCCCTCAAACAAAGAGTTCACAAGGCCGGTGAGGAAGATCTTCCTGTCTGATACAATGGCCTGGCCATGCGGTGCTCCAATTCCAGGATTTAAGAATTAATGCCGAGGAAATTCTTTGCTCATCAACGCATTAGATCGCATTAGTACACTCTAAGGTGGCACATAATTCCCATGACGACACTGCGAGGTTGACCCTGTCGACGGCAGATTTTGTTCTGCACTTCTGCCAGGTCGATTCACTATAACTACGTTTCATGCTACGGCGCTACTGTACCAGCCGAAAGGAAGACAGACATGCCTCATGGTGGACTCCACAACAGCTGAAAATGTTTGGCTTGGACATACAGTCATACTATGTGATACTTGATTCATGATACACACGATTAGCTCGACGCACAGTGGATCAAGGACAGTCACGATTCTCTGGGAGGCAGGTCGCTGGAGCAATCTGTTGCCGTAGCTTAAAATGCTTTCTGCTGCCTCTACATTGCTGCGCTATTGAAACTGGCCGTTCAAGTCAAGTTTGTATTTCTTCGTATCACTGGCATTGCCAAAACAGTGACCTGTGGATGATTTGTGGCAAAACCAACAGCTGAAGTTTTTGCGGCTGCAAATCAAGCCGTGCTTGCATGGGAACAAGTTGCACCATCCACACGGTGTTTGATTCTGGTACGGACAGCTTTCATCATGACAGGAAACAGGCCTTTGACAGTGGAAACAATCAATAGAGCTTGGGTCTTCAGGCACTACCTCAGCCCACCAAAGTCCATGTGGCTGAGCTTTCTTGGAGAACCACCGGCAGAATTTGCTCCACGTCTTCACTCGTCTTTGGTCAACATCGTCAAAGATCCACATCCATGCGGAGCTGTCTTCGCAAGCCACATCGGTCTTCGCATAGTTTGTAGAATGGTCCACGCCATAGTCTCGCTTTGAGGAATCCGCTTCCCATGCATCCTCAAGAGTTTCTTCTTGCTTGGGTAGGTCTATCAGCTTCAAGCCTTTCAAGCACTCTGGCAGCTCTTTTGCCTCCTCGTCTTCATCTTCTTTCATATCAGCCCAACGTGGAGCAGGCATGGCCACCTACCTGCGAGCTGCGAATGCAACTATGTGGAGGTGGCTCGAGCCCAAAAAGAAAGCAAGCACGGTGGTCGACGGTCAATTGGTCAAGTGGTCAAGCTGGATGCTCATCCGAACAGCAAAGGTGGCGCCTTGAAAGCTGCAGCTGCGTTTGTGGAGCTTTCCGACTCTTTCGACTCTTTCTTGCCCTTGCAAACGTGAGCAAGTGCCATTTGAAATGAAAGGAACACCGGATTGACGAAAGGAGGAGCATCCACACCAGAGCAACTTCCCAAGTCTCCTCTTCATCGCTGCTTCCATAGTTTTCTTCCCAAAAGACCACGAAGAAGAGTGCCAAGACCTGAGGTAAAGGAGGTGAACCAGTCAAGGGGCAGGGAATGTTTAGTGATTTCCAGATAAGGGCAAGCCAGCCGGGTTGTTATATACATGATCATGTAACTTTAAGAACAAAACATTAAGGAACCTAATAGCGATAGCCTCCAACCTAAGAGCGATAGCCTCCAACCTAATAGCGATGGCCTCCAACCTAATAGCGATGGCCTCCAACCTAATAGCGATGGCCTCCAACCTAATAGCGATGGCCTCCAACCTAATAGCGATGGCCTCCAACCTAATAGCGATGGCCTCCAACCTAATAGCGATGGCCTCCAACCCAATAGCGATGGCCTCCAACCTAATAGCGATGGCCAGCCACTCTTACCAATATGTATTCTTCCTTTTATGGATCTCTATTTTGGTCTAGTGTACCATCGACACTGAACCGGCTTTTGGCGCAGCTGGTTTTGGGCTCATCAGAGTCGTCTGCGTGTGCACTGTGCTGAGTGTGTGGTTTCAACAAGTGCCTGACATTTGTTTTGGATAAGTTTGTGTACTGGGTAGTGTGTGTTTCCAGAATCCTACAAGTACTACACAAGAGGCCCACTCTTTGGGGTTCAACCAAGAAGGAGGATCAGTGTGGTTTGATTGCTGGAAAGACAGACTCACGCATTTCCGACAAGGCCTGCACTGCAAGAGCAAATATTTCTAACTATATATGTATATATGTATAGGATGGAAAGATGTTGAGGATCTGTTTTTCTGTGTGTAATCCATTACCTGGGCCCTTGGTCTTGGGCCGTCAGCAAAATTGCCGCTTGAAAGGGCCCAATTTCACCCAGGCGATCAGCTACAAGTTGAGCACCTGAGCAAGGCTGATCAAGCTGAGGGTAGTGGCTACAAGTGGTTTTTCTGGACACCAATCAACTTGCAGATCCTTATGGCTCTTTGCACAAATCCACTACAGCTTCTGTACTTTCGCACATCAATGGTGTGTGTTTATCGGATTCAAGTGCAAAAGCCCGGGATCTTGAACGCCTCACTCCTCTTGCTAAGTTGTCACTTTTTCTTTAACCATCAAACCAAGTACATCCTCAACAGCGCGAGGATGCCTCCAACTAAGTTTGAGACAAATCCCAGCCTCAATGGATGTAACTACTGCTTCAAAAAGACATCTGTGTAATGGTTTTGCCATGCCAGGCAGCGATAATTGCAGACAGCCCGTTGATAAAGGAAGCAGTACCTCCAGCACTAAGCATGCTCATAGGCACTTGGCATCCATTCAAAGCTTCAAAGCTGCAAGCTATGCTCGCACCATGTGCCACCAGCCCGCTGCTTATCGACCGAAATCTCGAAAACAAGCCGCCCATATGGTAGTCCATGTGACGAAAAGGCTCGTGCTTCGAGTGGCCTTTCAGGCGCTTACCAAAATCACCCCGCCCGGGAAAAGGATTTGACTGTGGGTCAAAGCTGGTCAAATTGAGTCTAAAGAAGCAAGACCCCTGACCGGTACCACAGGAGTTCTTCGACGTCTGCCTCTGCGGATGTTTGACTATGTTTGACCCACACCCTTGTGTTTCCTCCAATTTTGAAGGAAAGCTGCGCCAAGGACAGGCATGAACATGCTCAAGGACGGTGCTTCCTCATTAGAGGTGCGGAAAATCCCGATAGAACAAACTACTCATAAAAAGCAAGCTTCTGAGAAACAGTCTAAGAAACTGGAAAGCCAAATGTACTGCTAGATTGCCAATTGCGCGGTGCTTGGTGAGATGTGCGACTACAACTTGTTAGACCCCAGAACTGGTGACACAACCTGCCTCTGGCTCAACGAATGAAACAAGTGTTATTGTTGGAACCCAGGAGTTTGCCTCCAACATCCACATAGAAGCTTGCTCTACATGTGCAGAACATTGTCGCAAAACGTTATTGAACGTGCATCGGAGCAAGCAAATATCGCCACATAACAAGGACGCTTTACTTTATCATGAGCTGACAAGGTGTTGCGTGATCTATGCTGAGTGCCAACTTAGATCAACTTAGCATGACAAAAGAACATGCCCCGTCTAATGCATGGAGACACTTGGCGAGGTTCAAAAAGGTTGCGATATCTACAGTGTAGCATTGTAGCTTGTATCAACTGCCAGTAGCTGCATGTCCAAGATTCAATCCTTGCAGGCTAGTCCTATAACTCTTCTTGTATGAGAAAAAACAGCCCCCAATGGCGAGATTGTGTGTGTCACTCCGGAGCATCACTTCACACGTATGCGTCCGTGCCACATCTCGTCATCACCTTTGTGGCTGGCTGCTAATGTCAGCTTCCGTCGACGAAAAGCCTGTGACTTCGTTCTTTGATCTGTGAAGGAGGGTTGAGACTGATCTGGGATCCGAGCGCTTGTGGCACATGAAGCTGTCCTTCAAATCTACAATCTCTTGCTTCAGCTCCCGCAGTTCCCACATGATCGCCCTGAAAGAGATTTCATGGGCAACCGCGTGCCAGAAGTGTCTATCAACACTATCTATCGCAATGGAGCAATACAAGAATCTTCAGGCAAAAGGGAACTCAATCAATCAATGCATAAGACTTGTATGCCTTTGCTGTTGAGTGAGCTCATGCACAAGAGGGGATACAAACAGCAGTGAAAACATGTGAAACCAATTAGAATGCCTTTGCGCAGTGGTGTGTCCTGCGCAATGTCAGAATGCCAAAAAAAGGAAACGATTGAACACTCAGAGATCTCTGTGCCAAGGCTCCGATCAGCTTTGTCGAGGGACTGCGCATCCTCCTCTCTAAGTAAAGACTAAAACGTTGTGAAAGTATCTTGGGTTGCATTCCCGAGCTACTGCGCATTGTCTCTAAGCCAAGAAGGTCCATTAAATCTCATCCTAATTGCAGGCCAAACAGTGCAAAGGGCCTTTTCACATCTTGTGAGGCCTTTGTTTGGCCTCTCAGAAGTTGCATCGGGTCCCATCTCCTTCATCTGGCTCTCCTGGTAGCCATTTGGAAGCGTGGAAGAACACAAGCACGACTAAACGCTGGCAAGTTGTTTGCTGCTTAGAGCGCCGCTCTGTCTTTAAGCAGCTTGCAACTGTAATAGGGTTCAATATGTTAACTGCCTTGGAAGTTGTCAGAAACCACCACCACGACAAAGTCTCCAATTTCTCGTTATCGATCTGCGACGGTCGTGGTCGTCTCCGTAGCCATGATAGCCATGTGGTTGTCTGAGTGAGTTATGTGTGCATATTGTGTGCTTTTAGAAGATATGACATGTGCCTCTGCCCAAATCATCCCAAATCTATCCACAGTGGCAGTCCTCTGGTACTTCTGACCGGTCCTGCACTTCGAACTGCACAACTCTCAGTACGCATGTCATGGATCCAATTGTTGTCCAAGGACTCCAAGGACCAAGGCTATTTGACCTGTGGAAGCCTCGACGACAACGGAGCAAGACGGTCCGAGTGGGCAAAGCACAAGCTGCTTGTCCACTGGGGTGATCGTTTGCTTTGGGTCAGGCGGTGTGGGGTGTGGGTGTCTCATCAGCAGAGAAGTTAATTTATGGCCAAGGATGGAGCAACTAGAACGATGTTTGCGCTGATGCATGATCCGGAGGTCACAAGCTTGTTACGCAGCAACTTGTTCAGTCCAGATCCAGATCCATTTGCTCCACGACCATGTCACGATATGCTTGGCCTCTTGCCTCCAAACAGGATGTGTGGCCAACACAAATAGAGGAGGCAATGGAGCCTTGACATATTATGTATTTCATTGATCTTTGTTTCAGATTCACTAGGTTCGTGAGAATCATATGACTGCTCAGCCCTCAAAGCTGCCTGGTCCCGAAAACTGCCTGCCGAAACCTCAGACGTGTCGTGAGTGGCCTCGGCTGCAAAGGAAGTGTGGGTGCGCGGACTCACATTGCTGCTCCAGGCTTTGTCTCCTTCAAACCCTTTGCTTCAGCTGTTTTAGAGGTGCAACACGTGCAACATGCTTTAACCCAGGCTAAACTTCCAGATCCAAAAGAGCACAAAAGAGATCATGAGAGCACGCAGAGATGCTCAGCATGCCTTGGGTGACTCGATGTAGGACTCCAAGTGTTCAAAAATGTTCTGAAACTCCTGCCGTCACTGCAGCATAAACTGCAAAGCATATCGCCGAGTAGGCTCTATATGATTCTATGAAGGGGAGGCTGTCTGGGATTGAAAAGAACGAGCTATCAAAGAGCAAACATGAGCAAGCCAAGACATGTAATCCGCAAAGAGGGGCCTTGTCAAGCTGCGACTTGGTCTTCACGACCTTTACGTAGTGGGACTGGTATCCGCCTGGTCCGCCTGTCAAAGCCATGAAGGCCATACCATCAAAAAGCTGACAGCCATGCAAGCTGAGGCAAGTTGGCCTGACTGCTCACTTGGCCCTTCAGAGGAAGTAGATCTACCTCAAGCACGTTTGTGTAAGGCCAAGAGTGTTTGTGTAAGCGCGCATCAAGAAAAGAAAGTATGACTCTGTCGTGAGTTGAATTCTCTTCCCTGGCTTTGAGACTGGATTGCAGAACAAATCATTGCAGAAGCTTTGGCCTTTGGTTGATTCAAAAACACAACAACCAAAAACCCAAAACACGTTGCGATTATCACTTCATCCCAAGCAAACTACGGACTGTAATTTGTTTCAATATAAAAATGTGTTTTGGATTTCATACGTCTTCCTTCATCGAAGCCGGCCTTCGCGGCGCGGGCTCTGCCGCCTGCGAGAGACCTCCAATCCAATCAGCAAAAAGCTGATCATTTCAAGCAAGCATAAGCCAGAAGCTGTAGGCTTTTTAAGTTAAGCAGCCAACAACTAGCCTATACAATCTGTATATGAGTTTTTAGACGCCCACAGAAAGCAACAATGATGCGAACTCCGAATTTGATCCAAGGACCTGAGCCATGTCCAGGTCTTCCCAAACGGAACTCTCACCTTTCGCAAGCGAATCCGACCTGCCTGCAGACAGGAGCGTTCCACGCATCCCGGATGATTCGAGTCAGCACCTGAGTGACAAAATCGTTCCTAGTAGCTTATTGTTTCTAATAGCTTCTTGTTACTACTAGTAAGGCACTTGTTACTAGAAGCGATGCACTTGTTCCTAGTAGCTTCTTTTCGGTTAGAAAACCAAATCCAAAACCAATGGTCCAATGATGTTCAATCTGTGTCTTTTCGATCTGGGTGGATGGCTCGGTGCCCTTCGAGGCATCGGTTGTGCAGAAGCGCTGCGCTGGGCACGGGAAGCCGCGAGCCAATGACCGGTACTTTCGATTCTCCTATTTTTGTTTTTGGGGATTGGCAAACGAATGCTAATAGCACTGTCACTCATCCCTACAAGCTTCATGGTGTCCTTTGGTATGCATCAAAGGCCAGAACATGCCAATGCCAGTATGCGTCTGTTCTTTGTGCACACGTGCACATCTCTTCAAAGGCATTGAGGAGAGCATTCGGTGATTTCGGAGTGAGCATTCCCAATAGAAAAATAATAAGGCTTCATGTGAGACAAGTGTTTTGAAGGCTGTTTAAACAGACAACAGCAAACTCCGCAAATTCTCAGAGTTTCGCTGCTTGGCCTTCTCAACACCTGGCAGGGACAGGTGCATCTCGTGGCGCCATCTCCTAGCAGCCACTTACTGCAAATAGACATGAAAAATCATGAAACTATGCATGTGAAGTCCAGCTCCCATGTCAGGTCTCCTGCTCCCAATCAAATTGAAGCTGTTTCCTCAGGTCGGTGATTTATCTGCCAGTGTTGGACGATGTTTGTGTCACATTCAGCGCTTTCGGAGCCAAAAAAAGAACCGTCACAATGTGCGACTCACACCAAGCTGCTGCGAGGGACCACGGGCCGTCGACCTGGCCCATGCCACCGACGACGGGCCGACTCAAGACGGGACCGTTCGCGGCCTTCCTCCTCTGTCAATCCCCTGGCAGAACGAATTAGGAAGAAAGGTGCAACAGTGTGCTTTGCAAACACAGGCCTGTGCTCAATGCGAGGGCTTGGAAGCGGCGGCCGGCTGCTGCCCGACCTCTCCCGCTTTTGTCCGCTTCCAAACGCAAGGACAAAGCTTTGATTCCGCATCATTCCGCATTCTTCATTCCTCAATGCCTGGAGGAAGTGCTGCTTGGCTGCCGTGGTCGACCCCAGCTCCTTAGAGGTTTTAGATGTTATAGAAACCTCTCTGCAACATCTTCACCCGTGAAGCATCCGTTCAACATTCCGCGAAGCAGCTTCTTCACTCCACCGAGTCCACCCAACAGCATCGCTTCTTTGACGTCGACAAAAGCTTCTTCCGGTATTTCTCTCCAAGTCTCGGGAGATGCACGCTTTTTTCTTCATGGCTGCGGCTACACATTGACAAGCAGCTTTGCAGCAAGCTTCAATCTTGCTGTTAGAGGGGAATGGCTACTGTACGCAAGTGGTGAATTGTTGAGTCTTGACTATATAGAAGGTGTCAGCCTGTTTGAAGGCACGCTGTCGGCTGCAGGTTTGAGAGGACAAACACATACCATCAGTTCAACTGCAGCGCCTGAGTTGATGTTTCACGATCACCTCTAGACTCTAGAGGTAGCCTCCTTGCTCCTGGTAGCGATGCCCTTTGTTATTAGTAGCGTCAGGAGCGCCCCTAGTAGCGTCCTTGCTCCTTCTTCCAGAAAGCAGTTTGCACACTGAAGAGAAGCGCACCAAATGTGTCTGCAAGCCAACCCTCGGGGAAGCCACGCTTCCGGTGCTCGGAGACCATCCATGTCCTGGCATCGCAGTTTCTCTCAGTTGGAAGTTCGGCTCGGGCCAATGTGGTTTTGAATCTATGAATCATGCAAAATTATAACACCCGCTGTTTACTGGCGTGCGTAACAGGGGCATGGATGATTGAATGTATTTGAGTAGAATACGCAGCAACCATCCAGAGTCTCCGTTAGTCTATTGGCATCAAAGCTGCTCCCGATGCTTAAAATCTGTCAGTCATATCGAGCAGTTATATATCTGGGCCAAACTGTGTTTACACTATGTCAAAATGTCTCTTCAAACGGACTTCTGTGCTGCCAGGCTCAAAAGCCGAGAAGAGAAGAGACGTGCTCACCTGGCCAATCCCGGATCGATGTGTGCTGCGCACCAAATTCAAAAGATAAACTGCAAAAGGCCGTGTGTTTGGAGGGACAAGCCACATCAATGAGAAAACGAAGCGCAAACTCTGCCGAGGCGCTCCGCCAAGGACACGACCCAGAAGCAACAAGGGGAAGTTGTTGAAGTGCTCGAAGACGTTGACCACCACCTGAGACAAGAACTAAACAATGGGCCATGGTCCCCACTCAAAAAATCCGCCCGCACCGAAGGTGCTGAGGCGTTTTATAGGGCATGCTTGCAATCCGTTAGTATCGTCAGTATACAATAGCTTTAGCTAGGGGGGGGCCCATTTTTGCTCTAGAATCCTGTGTTTTTCACGTTTTTGGAACCGGCTTAAAGTGCTTTCGCGCTAATGTTGGGTATCTTGAAGGCTTTAGGGATGCAAGAAATGCAAGTTTCTGCTTTGCATCATCTGCATCATCTGGACATTTGGCTGAACAGGTTCCCCTAACGGGGCTCAACATAGCTTCCATATTGCGTAACCACTATCTAACGGACGTGTCTGCGAGACAGGGACTTGAACGTCCGGGAACGTGGCTGGTCAGGAGCAGAGATAAGCAGATCAGGTCCAGGAACGG